AGGGTTCTTCCCGCCAGCCTGTCCTGAGAACAGCTTGCAGCCCTGGATTCTGCACCCCAAAGTGCAGACCTTAACTCCCGTGTTCATTCCTGCCTGGGGCGCCATCTCCCTCCCAGACAGCTAGGCAAGGACTTGGCTGGCTTTGGTGGGGCTAGTACACGGTATCCACTCAAGTGTGTTGGGGAACCCCGAGCTCCACCTCGAGGAGGCAAATTTGTAGGGGACCATGGTAATAATGAGGTTGCAGAGCCCACCCCATGTGTGGTATGGGATACAGATGAGGACAGCGAAGCTAACGGACCCAGAAAGCTGCCATGGTCACAGAGCAGGTGGCAAAGCCAGGGTTCGCGCAGAACTCCCTGTTCTGCAGCCAAAGCCCTGCCCGGGAGGCTACAGTACCTTCACACACTCCTAGTGCTGAGGGCTCCAGCCAGGAGACGGGTTGGCATACGCGGCATACGCTAGCCACAGAGACAGCCATGCTGCAAAGCCTCCGCACGGCCACGCCTGCTCTTCCCTCAGCGCAGAGTCCGTTACGTTTCCCACTTCACAGATGAGCAAACAGAAGCCCCGTGCCAAATTTTCCATTTTCTGGGCAAATGAAGGTGACAAGCACGGTGTGGAAAATCCCATGGGTGAAGAGATTAAGAGCAACAGTTCTTCCCCTCTCATGGCATGTGGCATGGGGGTGCTGGGATGGTACTAAACCAAGCTTGTGTTCTAGGAGCTTGGAAGCTAGCCTGATCCAGAGAAGTGGGGGGATGCAGAAACAAGAAGGGAAGGACAGCCCTGGCAGGAGGGTGGCCTGCACGCACCCCTCCCCCATGTTGCTTCACGCAGAGACAGAGCTGGAGAGCAGGACTCCGGCTAGGGGTTAGCTTCCTAGGAAGAGCACCTCTGCGCCCAGGTCACGCCCCTGGGATCCGGGCGGGGCCCAGCACCACAGGCTCAGACCTCTGACACAGGAGCCCAAGCTGCCCCGCAGGACCGCAGCACGTCTCTGCACCCCTCCCCGCCTCAGCTGCCCCGTCTACAACGTGGGGATGTAAGGGCCTCCTCCTGGGGTCATTTGGAAGCTCTTCGCAGCAAGTGCTGGGCACAGGCTGGCCCTCCAGGGGTCAGCCTGTGAGCGCCTCAGGCTGCAGGACCCTGGGTGCCAGCACCCCAAGGACACCAGTGGATCCCTCAGGGTCAGGTGGAGAGGGAGGAGGAAAGGCTTATCTGACCCGCCCCATTGTCTTCACTGACCTTTGCTCCCAGGCCTGGCTGGGTTTAGGAAAAGCCGCCTTATTAGCTGGGCAGGAAAGGTTGCTCAGAAAAGGCCTATTCAGGGCCACTGTGCTGTCTCTTTTTAAAAGGCCCAGACCACCCCACTCGCTCCTACCTTTCAACCCAACAGAAATACAAGCAGGAGAACAAACCTGTCTTCTTTCGAGACAAGACGCTCAAAATTTTAATCCAGACTTTAAAAACGAAAGGGGCCCATTCCATCCATGGGCTTTGCAGAGGTGTTCTCTCTGGTTCATTCAAAGGGAGCAGGCAGGGGGTGGGAGTGGGGATTAGGGGAGGGGAAGAACTGTCTAGGGATGGGGGCTAGGGGGTGGGGGTGGAGCGTTACAGAGGGATGCATGGGTTGGAGGAGGGGCAGATAAAAAAAAAAACGGAAAATTCTTTTGTCTAAAAACAACATCAGTTCAAAGATGGAAACTCGACTTTCTGGTGTTTGGGGTCTCATCTGCCTTGATTTGCACCCCATGACAGCCAAGAGCACTTGTCCACACTTCAGTCAGCCCAGCCCAGACCTCCCTCAAATCCAGCCAGGAGAAAGGCCTATTTGCATATGCATTCACAGGCCCGCCAGGCAGGCCTCAGCCAAGGGCTGCCTGGAATACAGATGGGCACCTCCCAACCCAGCGAGGACAGTAGGGCCACCGCCCCGACCCCCACTCCTCCCTGACTGATCAGCAAGCGTAGCCACACACCCCTAGGACTGAGCATCAGGTGAGCTGTCTAAACAGCAAGGAGTTTTGAAGAGAACCTGAGTCTGTTTAGCAAGGCCTCCAGAACGCTGACAACTGCTGAGACCTACTGTGTGCATGGGCAGATCCTGACCTCCCTGGACCAGTGTGGACAGAAGGGCACTCTGGGTCTGTCCCACCTACAGAAAGGGAGTGGGGTGGGAACCTGCAGTTGGCGTAATGGCTATGTCGCTGGACTCCCACGTGGTCGACTGCGGTTCGCGTCCCAGACTCGGTGGCTTGAAACTCACTCCGGGCTCGTGTGCATGCGTGCCCAAGATCCCGAGAGGAGAATGGAGGAGAAGGGATTGCGGCGTGGCCATCCCCCCTGGGGGGTGATTTCTCGCTTTCTGTCTCTATGTCTCTCTCTGTCTGTCTGGCAAGCGCACGCACCCTATAGTGAAAATCTCTCCAAAAAAAAAAAAAAAAGAAAAGAAAGGGAGTGGGGAGAGGCTGAGCAAAGCTACGTTACTTTCCAAACTCAAGCAGAGGATCTGAGATTCAAACTCAAGACAGCCTGACCCTCCGGGTAACAGGGTTATCAGCCATCTGCTCAGTGGTCACTGATAAGGAAGTGACACTGCCCAGCATGGGAGAAAGAGGGCAGACCTGGGTCAGGAGTCAGAACAAGGAGTTGCCAGCATCCCCTGATTAACAGTAACCTTAAAATGACAGAGGCCAGGCCGGCAAGCAGGTCAGTGGCCTGAGCAGATGGCCACCCAGACAGCAACCTCAACCCGGAGAGACACTTCAGACCTTCGCTGCCTTCCCACGAGGTATGGAACCTCTCTGAGCCTCTACCTGCTTGCCTGTAGAATGGGGACAACACCACCTGCCCAGGGGTGCTGTGAGGATGAGCCGAGACAGGTACCCACGGCTGAGCTGCCACTTGGCACCATTCTGCGGCCACCTACAGGCCAAGAGGCTCATTCTCATCTCGGGCTCACCCCTAACACATGCAGCAAGCCCCACACAGAAATGCCCATTCTCCAAGAGAAGGGTCTTTCCTCCTGGTTTTCAGGAACTCTGCTCGCGCTGGCGGGAGAGCACCTCAAGTCCGCATGACTTTTAAGAGGCAAAACTTACAAGGGCGGGCCTGTCTGTAACTGCACGCCGTGAAAGCAATGCAATGAATTTTCACCCCCAAAGCAAAGCTTTGCCACCACAGCATGTGCAGCAGTCCTGTTCAAGTGCCCTGGGGACTCAGGGGGAGCATGAACTCTGCGGGAAACCCTACACCGCAACCCTCGCCCACGCCCCCGTGGGGTGGAAAAGCTCAGGTGTGGCCCTGCGCTCCACTCCTGCATTATTCACTACTGCCACTGGAACACTCAGCCAGAGCAGGGCTGTCTGCCCGTCCAGAACACGACAGAGCCCTTCCTGCAGGTACGCTAGGGCACTTGAGCACTCCAGTGTCCTGCGGAGAGTCACTCTCGCCAAGAGTCTGATGCAGCGGAAAAGCAGACACATACCCCCAGCCCTCGGACTGCAGCGGTCTCCTTCATATTACACTTGGGGAAACCAAGGCCAGGAAACTGATCCTCCTGAGGTCCCCAGGAAGGCAAGGCCTAAGAGGCTGAAGCTCTCTAAACGGGGAGAAGGGAGCATCCCTAACAAATTAACCCCCTACCTCAGTCAGGACCACCGCCTTAAGGAGGGGAAGCAGGTGGAGACAGAGTTACAGAGAAACCTGAGTTGCACTCATAGATTACTGATCAGTAACAAAATCTCTCTCTAAGCCCAGTCCTGCCCAGAACTCATGGGCCTGGGATGGTAAATAAAACTAAAACTGTGCTGCGCCAGGACCCCATTTCCACACACCTACAGAGGCCACCTGGCCACCACAGCATAGGCTGTCACTCTGTCACATTTCCCCTGGGTTAGGAAAAGCTTTAAGAGGACCAGAAAGAGCCGTCTGTCCTGCACCTGCAAACACTTCAGGCAGTCGGAACAGAACTGGTAGGCTCCCCACCAAAAACACAGAGGGCCAGGGAGGTCCCGCACCACTGAGGAGAGGAGGCAGCAGGGAGAAGGGCTGGCAGGAGGAGCAGGGCCAGGCCCAGGGCAGACCCAGGCCCAGGGCACCGGCCCAACAAGAATGGGCATGGAAGACAGTCACTGAGCTTTCCTGAGGCCAAAGGTTCCCCCACCCACTCCGGGCACAGATGACCACAGCACTTCCTGTAAGGCGATCAACAGTTTACAAATCCCTTCAGAGGCTTTATCTCCACCTCAAACCCATCAGGCAGGGGCCATCATCTACATTAACAGACAAGGAAACCGAGAGGCCTTAAAGAAAAGCCAAGACCTATTCTTTGTACATATCCTTCCGGAAAGCCTTGGCCCCCACCCCCAAGCAGACAAAAGTTGCCCTGACCAGCAGAGACACAGCTTACTGCAAACCAGAAAGGCTCTTTGCCCAGGTCCTTCAGCCTAGCGGCCTCTGGGTCTCAACAAGGCTGCCTGTACTCCTTCCCAATTTGCAGGAAGCCACCAAGAAGGCAGGAAGGTATTCCAGCCACTGCATTCCCAGGGAGGCTGCCTGAGCTTAGGGGCCCGGCTGCTCCAAATGAGAACAGAAATTCACTTGGCGCTCAAGGGGCCTCCCCCCACCTGCTTGAAGAACTTCTGCTGGAGGGCAAGGATTTCAGGCCAGAATGTGGCGCCCCTAAGCCACCCCGCAGTGCTGGACCAATACTGACAACTCCGAAAGTGCATGCGAGAAACTTCTGGGACCGGGCTGGCTGTGGATTCTGAGCTGGACAGGGGCACGCACCATCACCCAGAGCCCCATGGAGGGTGGGTGCAGGATTCCATGGCCCAAGATCCACGCCAGCTGGAGGAGGAGTCCGCAGTGGGGCCGCTCCGGCACGAGCACGGCGGCAGGGGCTGCCTCCTCTCACGCCCCAGGGCCCGCTGGGTGCCAGCAGGGAAAGGACTGCGACCCCAGAGACCCTCGGTGCCCCGGCCGTGCCTCCTTACCGTGCAGGCCGTTGGGGATGCTGCGGTGGTGCGGCGGCGCAGACAGGTCGTCCAGGGACCGGCGCGTGGCTCCAGCCTTGCCGTCCGGGGCCTTGTGCGGCCCGGGGGGCAGCAGAGGGGGCGGAACGTGGGGGGGGTGGGGGGGGGTGGC